ATGCTGTCGATGATGATGATGATGCATCAAACGCCTACCAGTACTAATGGGGGTGGAACCAGTCGGGTACGGTCAGCAAAATGCCAGCGTAACTTCAGCTCAGCTGAGTTTCAAGTTGCTCCTCGCCAACTACGAGGTCACCGCAAAAAATACGACCGTTCTGTTGCAGCACACTTCAGGGGTCCAGTTGCCGTCCCGGAATGGGGCTCGAGAACTAAGATACTGAGAGACTGCCCGAGCCTAGATTAAGGCAGACGAGATGCTAAGGTAGGTTCAAAATACCAACCTTCCGGTCGGTAAGTTGGCGCCTCAGTCACTGAAGACCGTCTTGCATGTAAATATCGCACTACGGAATTAGCTGATAGTCACACAACCAGAAGAAGCAACAATGGTACTGACACTGATACTCCACTGCCGTAAAACCACTAGGTTTACCCGAGTATATCTGAAGCCTCATAATTGAAAGAAGAGACAGAAAGGGCCGAGGGAGGGGACGTGGTGCTGATTTATGTCAAGCATCTTGAGGTGCATACACCTCAAACTGTCCAGTCAGGCAATAGGGAAAGTAAATGATAGCACCAACGCCACTGAAAGCGATCAGCCGCCTTTTATTGCAATCTGTAGCCAAGCGCACAATGGGTCACGTGGACCCCATCATAGAAGGAGTACAACACCAACAAAACCCCGAACTCGTAGCAATCCCGTTTACACCCTTCTACCAAGTCATAAGTTGTCCGACTGGCTGTTGCTGCCAATCTGTATGATGCACAGAAAACGGGTTGTCTCGTAGACGCTGTTTCGGCGTGCGTAGCATATGACTGAGCCACCGCAGTTGGTGGTCCTGAATGTTTTCCGCGAATGAAGTAACTGCTGTACAACAAATACCCATTTTCTCATCACCTCGTTACCAATCCGTTAACGCCACAAGACATCAGCAACGCTTGAGGCACTCGTGGTCAAAAATCTGAAGACGCGTAACATCATCTTTCCGTAGAGGCTGTCTGCCACAGGTGATGTAAATTAGAAAACGCGGACCGGGCATTTAGGGTACGTTCACCGACTTCACCAGACACTTCTGTCAGAGATGACATAACTACCGAGGTGAGCGAAATTATTCACAACTTCCTGTGCTTATCCTTTAATGGTAACGGTCATGTTCAGAGCGTATATGACTTGTCGACAAGCCATATACTGCATTCGAGGCAGTCGACAATGGGGAGTGTGCGTTATGCATGACGAGACGAGAATCTTTCGCATGCCTAATTCGGAGTGGTGTATATCTACAGGCGGTCAGAATTTGACATGGCAAAGAAGAGTGAAGTGAATTATGGAATGTTCGGGTGCCTCTGGTGCCGTTTCGCGAGACGACGCATTTTGCGGCGTCATCTCCATTCCGATTGGCTGAAATGCTAATGGTGGGAACATGCAGAAATCGGGGCCGATCGAATTCCATGCGTTCAGCATTGGCATGTAATATGCACGCTATGGAAGCACCAGGCGACAGTGATTCTCAGAAGGCAGGTGTTCACGACAATTTCTGTGGATGGAAATCATAAACAAAGCTCATGAGCCAAAGCCCAGTAAGCAAGGTTGTACATCACCAATACTTACATATAAACCAATCAAACTGACAGACACCGTATACTACACGCACAATGGAAATGAATTTTCGAAATATACGACGTGTCCCTGATGAACCAAAAAGACAGCTTAGTGATTTCAGAGTACGAGTTCAAACTTCTGAGTTCCATCTAAGCATCCCGTGGTCTCAAGGATGCTAGGAAAGTATCCCACCAGACATTGTCGTTAGGGGTGTGATTGCTTCAGTGGACAATGATATTTAGTGAGCTCCGAAAATATGGAAGTAGATTGGGATGATTTTTAGTGTGAGTAGGTGTGGGCACATACGCAATAAAATTCAACATCTTGGCGCAAAACGTTTCATCTCACCCGCAAAGGTTTTGCAATAAATGGCATTATATGGCTGATGAGCTCTGGATATCGGTGTATGATTGAGCCTCTTGAATGTAGCGGTGAATCATCTTATGGTGGTTTCTGATAATTATTTACACGAGGAAATGGTGTAGTTGTTGCAGTTAATTTCTTATTTGCGGCCGTTTTTCACAGCCTGCAGTTCAGTAATGTCAACAGATATACCGACTGTGCCCAGTTAGCACGCGTCCGCTCCTGGGTGCAGCACCTGTGCAGAACTTCTGCACTAATTTTCGGCTTTTAGGCCTCTGGAGATTGAGACGTTTATTAGGCATCAGAGATTCTTCATTTGTCTCACAGTAATAAAAAACCACAATACCATGCTTTTCCGAGTGCCTACGAAATGCAGACTGTCGACCCATTTAGGTGGTTTTGTTTTACTCTGCGGCGCCATTGCTCGCGGGGAGCCCTGCGTTCTGCTTGTTCTCACGTGCGGCTGACAGTGAGTTTTGTTGTGCTTTCATATGTTTTATTCCTGGTGTGTTTACGTGAACGAAACCGTAAAAAATATTTTTTATTTCAAGTAACCGTCGATGCGCCCGAAATTTGTTCGTGTTGCTCGTAAGGGCTCTTCAAGAACAACGCTATACATGAAAGTACGACAGGCGGTAGTGGCAAGTGGCTGTTTTCGTCGCCCGACTAATGAATGCGTCCAAAATGCCTTTAGTCGACTATCTGAGGGTAAGATTCATGATTACTCAGATGATAGACTCTAGATATGCCGAATTTGACCGTTCCAGGTGATAAACTAGGCTGCGATTTACCAAGATGCTCGCCGGCGGTTTCCCCGATCCCTGTTATCAGGACTTTGGAACCAGGAAGGCATTCACCACTGCGGTCCCTGGAGAGCCTTTCGGTTCCTGCTTTTTGCCATTAGGTAGCCCACTGCAAGTCGTTGAATGGATCAGCCCGTATGCTCCGCTTGCACTTATATTGCTTTTCATCAGTATCCTTTTTAAACCATTCACAACCAGGTAGAGATATTTTAACGGCTGTTCGTCGGATGGCGCGAAGGCTGAACCTAACTTTATCCGGTTTAGCCGTTGTGTTGGACGAACTCAGATAATTTTTCCCGTCTCTTTCGAAGGATCCACGGTTCGTAATGAAAACCCCTCGTCGTTGCTGCGTGCGACAGAAGGCCGGTGGGACGTACATCCATCTTGGGTTGAAAGCAGGTTTGCTGCGACAGCCCCGTGAGATTCAGACTAGGGTTACAAATATCGAAATTCAAATGAACGTTGACGGTATTCGGGCCTATAACAACTCGAGTACTCAAGTGTAGCCTATGCTCTCCCGGATAATTTCACTCTTTCTCGGTCAGCCTTTCGTCGTTGGAATATACTGTGGTAAGCAAAAACCCAATGATGCTCATCAGCTAATATCTGACACGGTCGCTGAGTTGACAGGCGTCTTGGCGAACGGTGTCTCCGGGGTTTAGAATATTCACACCATCTGTCTTCAGTGCATTATTTGCGATAGTCCCGCTAGGGCCTTTCTGAAGCAAGTGAAGGGACATACAGGATATTATGGCTGTGATTATTGTACACTAAGGGGTGCGCACATTGGTACACTTATGACTTCTCCCTCATTGACAGCTCTCTTGCTTCGTGACTATGATTTCCAAACCAGAAAGAAAGAGGAGCACCATGTAGGTCCAATTCCGGTGGAGGAGTTAAATTTTCCCATGAGTGACGGTTGCCCACCAGATTACATGCATAGTGTGTCTTGGTTTAGTGTGGAAATTTCTCATCTTACTCAGAGCTATGCCAATTGGACACAAGGCCAGGCTTTCTTTGGAGCCCTGGAATCTGCTGAATGATAACATTGAGCAACAGAGTTTGGCTGTGAGTATTGATTTCCTTCGAAAATGTCGAGGTGTCGTAGACCTGGATCGGTGGAAAGCATCTGAGCTACGATAGTTTCTTCTGTACATAGGACCCGTTGTTTTACGAGATATCTTATATCCTGACGTTTACGAATGTTTCATGTATTTTTCGGTAACCACTTTCATAAGCTGTTCACCTTTTTTCACAACATTATGCTGACTTTTTATTAGATGTTTCCAAGGTTTCCGTGTCAAAATTTGCTGCTATTTTCGGTCCTAACCATTTGGTGTACGACATACACCTCTTCTCCCATTTATTCAATTTCGTCAAGCTTCATGGTTGCTTGGATCGTTTTTCCTGTTTTCCCCATGAATCGGAGCTGGGGCAGTTGAAGCATTACATACATGGGCCAAAACTACCGGCTGTTCAGCTTTACCGCCGACTGGCCGAGCGTGTGGGACTGGATGCTGTCGAAAGGAAGATATTTTTGGATGATGTTGGTTTGCGACTGAGGCCATCAGCCACTGCCGGATGTCACAGGTTTATTCAAAGGGATGTCTTTTTTCGGAAAATCTTTCCCGACAACTGCATTTTGCTTGATGGTCAACCAGTTGTCATTGTAGATTTTTCTGGAGATACTATTGAGTACCAGAAATTCAAAACTGTATTCCCGTTTTACACTCACGTATTGATATCGACAGACCTTTTAGTTTTTCAATGCTCCGACTTGCAACACACTCGGCCCTTTGCATCGGTCAACCAAATATCCCGTAAATGCTTAAGTTTATCTTGCAGAGACACTCGTATATATTTCCCCATTTTACATACCCTTATCGATTAGTCAGTACTCTTACCACTGACACTCGACACATGTATGCATTTATCACTTGTATTACTCATTAGTTCGTAAAATATACATACGTATTTATGTTGGTACTGTGCTATCCCATCAAAGCTTCCGTCTGTATGTGGATATTCTGCTGTTAAATGTCGCATTTGGAAGTTGTTTTTCAGCCATGTACGCTGTCATCATATTTGCGGATAACTCTGTCGACATAGTGCATGAATCGTGGCTCGTACCGCCCGAGTCAGTCCTTTGGCCCTCGTGCACAACCAGCATTCTTTGTACCAACTTACTGAGGGGTACTCTACCAAAATATCCACTCAAGTCGTGCACGTACGAAGTGTATCGGCAGTGCAGTAGGCTCATTTTCAGTTAAAATGTTCTAGAAACTTTTCCGGATGCACTGAGTGCCCAGAAGGAAGCCCTTGACTCAGGGCATACCGCCTCTGCGGAGCCAAACGATGAACGGCTCGTACGTCAATCCAGGCGCAAACAAAATGTTTATCAATCGTATTACGATGGTTGCAGTACAAAGAAACGGCTGCCGTCTGATTTTACAAACGGGTCGGATCGTGATTCCAGTGGTGACATCACTTTGTTTGCAAGCATAGTCATAAGCCCACCAACTCCAAAAAGGCTGTAGGTCCTCCCACACCTACCAACTTTTCAATTTGTAAAATCCTTATTTTCAGATGTACCAAACCGACTGCCACGATTAGTAGTATCATTCCTGTTCAAGACGCGTCACCCGTCCCTCGTGATGCCCCGATGTTACGTGGAACGTACGTTTTATTTCATTACCACCATCTAGAATCTATCAGCAGTTCCACGTATACAACACTTCCCGCCGTGGACGATCCAGAACCACGCAGTTTTACCCCGATCCTCAGGTTTTCTTAACATTCCATGCACTTTACTTTCTAGAACTAACTCTTCAAATTCAAAGGCCAGCGTAATTTCCCCGGACATGGCCAACCTCATTCTCAATGAGTAGATTACCATGTTTTAATTAAACTATTTTGTAGAGAATCTAGAGAGGAAATACTAGTTACTCCAGAGACTGCATATGAAGCTGGATGCTTTAGTACCCACAGGCAGTTCTCAGACACTCGACGAGCCCCCTCTTCCGTAGTCATCCATGGACGAACTCCGAAAGTATGAAGAACATCTAAGAAATGGTCTACGCTATGCACAGCTGGTAAGTATGACTTTTATTTACGACTATTGATTCCACAAAGGTGGAAAGGTGGCTCTTGCAGGAGGCTGGCGATGTACGAGTGTAAGTGACCAACGTGCTTACGCGGACGTTGGCACCAAAGCTAGCCGTACTGCTCAACTGGCGCAGAATAAATGAAAAAGAAACCCTCGGGTCAACCAGGCTGGCCCAAGGACTTATTTGCAAGTAGTTAATTGTTATTTTATATTTAGCTAGTTGAATCAGTGTCTGAATGAAACTCAATAACTATGTTCTTCATTACAGACGCGACAACTGGGAAGTTTCCGAACACAACTCTGCGACAAATAAAGGAAATCGTTCATCGCTGGCAGGAAAACGAACGACAGAAAGTTCGGAAAGGCCTGCAGAGAGCCACCAAGAGTGACAAATGGTCTTCCCCCTGTATTTTTCAAATTCATTCATTAAAACATTTATACTTGAAGGCGCTTATTTATATCCGGAAAGGTAATACGCTGAGCAATTATGTGGGGGCAGGTGGGTTATCACTTGGTGTTTAGGATGCTACTGAATCGTACTAGGGAGAGAGGTAAATCCGCATAATGGGCTATATTTGCTCGTCGGACGACTTTAGCTAAGTGCGGTCTGGGTGCAGAAATCCCGGTACTGAGTACGGATTTTCCGCACCTGGATGCGTAAACCTCTGCACTATTTCCGCATCTGGGTGCAGAAGTGTGCAGATACTGTGCGGAAATTTCCGCACCCGGATGCGGACTGGGTGCGGAAACTTGTTTCACCTCCGCACTAGTTCCGCACCCGGGTGCAGGCATCTGCGGAAACTGCGCGGAAATGTCCGCACCCGGGTGCAGACATTCTGCAGAAATTTCTGCACCGGTGCTAACTGGGTGATTTGTTGGTGTAGTCTCGCAAAATAAAACAGTAAGCATATAATATAATATAATATATCTACAAGCTTGCCTACTGCGTTTCGGTTCATAAGCTTTCTATTCCTTTTCAGTTCATAGGAATTCTCATGCATCCCAAACCCTGAGGATAAATGTCCATTGGTTCTACCGTAGCGTGCACATTGCACGTAAGACAATGGATCACATGTCGAGCGGAACCTCGGGTGGACCCACAAAATGGGTATTATTGGTAGCTTAGGTCTACTTAGCTCCGCCCTTTTGCAGTTTTCGCCAAATCATTCATCACAGCCCGCTTGGACATGTTTGAATTACTGGCAGATTGTTATCAACGTCCTCTACGGGTAGCACACATAAATTGAAGCACAAAAAAGGCATGCTCAGCGCCTATGGGTTAAGTGAACTGCGCCTAAGCATTATTAAAAACACTGTGCTCACACGTGGTGCTGTTACTTGTGCCATTACGGGCGAAAATGTGTAAACATTTGCCTCTTCAACCGCTGTGGGAGGCCAAACTTTTTGGCCTATTGTACTAGACCGTCCAGCCGATCCATACAAACGAACCAGGTTGCCGTAAGCTGCCCCTTACCTGAGTACTCAGTGGCTGCAAAAGAATGTAAAGCACTTTGCAGAGGGTCCCATCTTCTCGGGCGTGTAGAGTGTACTGATTGTGTCACTCAGTTGTGGGCACAACGGATACCAAACCCTATTGCGAGTTAAACCGCACCTTGGATACTTGAGAGTAGCTTGTTAGTGCACAGGTGTGGTAGCCATGATACAAATCAGGTGTATGTGTACTAATAGAAGTTTTTGTACGGTTGCGACACGTATGAAAATAAATACAGTGCGAGAATGAGAGCAAGTCAAAAAGGGAACTTATCGTATATGAGAGTCCCTTGGTGGAAGTCCGAACGGCGGGAACGTGTTTTTCTCCGGAGTTCGACTGCCACACGTACTCCATGGTTGTCCGTGAACTTGTGGAGAGGCTGATGTCCTGCCGCCTGCGCGCGCGAGTCTGTGTCCTGACTGATTTCGGTTTACATTTATGTAGGTCCCAGTGCGTATACGTGGGCGCGTCGACACATGAGTGGTTGCTGCGCTGACTACGCGGTGCAGACAATCGATGTCCGATGAGTCAACCTAATGCGACGTGTTTGTGCGTGTGAGAAAAAAGACAAGTCTCGCGATCCAGTGAGCGATTGAATTGAACAGTCAAGTATATGGGTGACTGGGTCGCTACAAGCTTCGCTTGGCTTTTTAAGCCCAAATACGGAACTTTGTAACATGTGAAAGGGATGAAGACTGACGGCGGTAATGACCTTCATGCGACCTAATTTTCACCTATTTGTGTTTGTCACAATCGTTCTAGCAAAAGCGTCCCACGAAATTGTTCGCACAAGAGGCTCAACAGCTATATCATGAAAATTGGGATTTGCCGCGAACAAAGGAGTATGGACAACCCGATTGCAAAATGTGGTCATCACACGTCACACGTAGCAGCCACGTATGCAACGCCGGCACGTGGACTAACTGAACACAAAATTAACGTAAATGACAAACAAACCACACAGCCTCAACAAAGCGAACCACAAAACATTATAACTAATATCTGCAAAAACAAACAGTCGTGGACACAAATTTGCGCAAAGCCCCCTGGATATCCCGCAAATCACAAACTGGTTTGTGGAAGAAGCTCAGTCTATCGCGCGGGATAGGAACACCACTTGTTACACCAGTTTTACATTTCTGCGTACACGGCCAGGAACTTCCGTGTGCAAACAGAACAACTTAACAAAGCAAGGTCCATTCGTTCCTGTTTCTCAGTTAGATGACAATTGCTGGAGCATATTTACCAGTTTGCGTGATTATCATCGTAATCTTTGTCGGCTGTAATAACCGCGTACTCGTCGTGCAGTGGTTTTACCTGCCGTAGTTTCGTTCACCGATGT